TATGCAACCCATACCTCCAGGTTCTTATTGTAAACACACAATCTCCCTTTCCCTTGAAACTACCAGCTTGCAGCATCTCTCACCAAGTGGTAAATCAGATTACACCAAGGAGCTGAGATTCTAGATAATTAAAGCAACCATCTACTTAATGGTGAAACTATTCCACCTATAACTTGAGTGATTATGCAAAATAATAGTGCATAGGAAGTATGTGATAAACCAAACTGACAAGGTTGCGTCATTTAATAACATATAAAAATATTAATTTCAAGTAAGTGATTGCAGTAGACAATTTTCTTCAAGCCTTTGCTTCACAATATAGCAGTCCGAACATAAAGAATATTCAGTTCTTACAAGGATATGTCTGTAAAAAACAATAAATAAGTGTTTTATGCATTGATAAGATCAACAGTATATAATAATAGTTCTAGCACAAAAAATCCTGCCAAAAGACAGAAATACTTAATGGAAAAGAAGAAGCAATATGAAAATATTAGATAGTGATATAAATAAAAGTAGCATAAGGAAAAGGTAAAAAAATACCTTCTGCACCTCTTGAATACGTTGTTTTGCTCTTTTATGAAGCCTGTTGAACTTGGTATCAAGCTCAGAATACTTCTCATCACGATCTTTTATTTCTTGATCCATCTTCTGTTGAGCTACCCAAAGAAACCATTAAACCAGTTTAGTACGATGATGGTAAAATAACGAAGTAGATGTGACAAATCTCTTATCCCCAAGAACTCTATCCTAAGGCCACATTTAACTAATACATCAATTACCATCAACAAGAATCATAAATGGATCTAATTCCAAAATATGCTACCAAATCCAATCAATAGATATAGCATGGAAATCAACAAAAAATAATACAACCTTCAGCAAGTTTGGCAGAAAGCTCTTGAACCTTTGTATCTGCCTCTGAGTGTGCTGCTCCAAGATGTTTTAGAGCTTCCTCTGCAGCACCCCGAGTTTGTCTTTCCTCTAGAAGTTCTCTTTTCAAAGATTCTAATTTTTCATGAAGCTCTCTGACATCACCATTGGACGCCAAATCGTCTAGCTCCATAGCTTTATTTCGTTTTTCAGGGTCGCCAGAATCAAGAATGTGATTCTTCATATCCACAAACTGAGACTTCAAATATTCATTCTGGAAACTAAGTTCTACCACAGTCTCTTCAAGTTGATCATGGCTGTAATAAGTATGTTTATTTCCATCATGTAATCCATTCTCCTCGATAAGATTCCCACCATTCTCGTCTTCTACATTATGCAGCTCGTTATCCTCTTCCACACGATTAGCCAGTGCCTCCCCACCATAAACCCCTTCTTCAGACATTGTTGCCAAGCTTTACCGAAAAGCTGGAAATTAGTAAATGACATGATCAGTAAAGGACAAACATAAGCTAGAATTAATAAGATACCACATTGATATTAACACTCAAATAAAGTTATAGCATCAATACTATAGTACTTTCCCACATTTACTTTAACATGGTGGATTCCTCTATTTTATTTTATTT